ATAAAAAATGAAAAAAAAACTCAAATAAAAAAATATTTAAAAAATCAATCAAATTACATAAAAGAAGATACAAAATAAAAGAAAATAAAATAGTGTAAAATAAATAATAAAAAATAAAAAAATAAGAAAATAAAAAAATGAAAAAAAAACATATAAAATAATAAGAAAATAAAAACATGAAAAAAAAATCAAATAAAAAATTTTTTAAAAAATCAATCAAAATAAAATAGTAAATTAAAACTAAATCAAATTAAATCAAATAAGATACAGTAAAATGAAATAAAATAAAATAAAATAAAATAAATAAAACATAACAATAGCTGTTAAAATAAAAGAAAATAAAATAATTAAAAAAATATATTAGAAAATAAATAAAAATAAAATAAGAATATAAGAAAATTAAACCAAATAAAATAAAATAAATAAAAAAATATAAAAAAAAATTATATAAGTTGAAATAAACGAAAATAAAAAAAATTTAAATAAGTAACAAAGAAGAGAACAAAATAGAGGGGTTGGCATTGCGTACTGCCATTCGGAAGGCTCGGGTTCAAATCCCGGTGTCGTACTAGCATCCAGAAGTCATCGAAAAATTGAGTTAAAAAAATTAAACTTAATTTTCTATCTGCGGTCTCTCCCGGTGTACTTCTGACATGAAATAAAGCTTCTCATAAAAAAACCATCACCCGTTCAGAGCCAGCTTAGTATAAGCTGTAGGTGCATCCATTTGTTGGGAAAACTTCAAGAAGCAAAACCTAAAATTAGAGGAGGATCTCGGCCGAAAATCATTTTAGCGATTACAAAATTAAATCTTATACACGTATATAAGTGCTCGCGTAAGAGTGTGTATCACGATTCTCTTCCATAACGTTTTTATCGCTTTTAATGAAATTTTATGTGCATATTCAGTAGGTTTGAGAATAACATAAGATCTATTTTTGAAACCGGGAGGAGGGCCTGGGTATGATTTATTTGAAAAAATCTTATTTTCGGTTTGATTTACTTGAAATTTAATACATAGGTACCCTTTACTTAGCAGGAATACATTTGTTTTCAGGAATAATACCCTGGACCGATCTTTTCAAAGAATCGTTTTTGTGGCTTGCATTGATACATATATAAAAATTTTCGGAAGTGGACCAAGGGTCACCGAGGGGATATTTGGTCCATAAACCGATACCTGACATCATTTGTTAATTTGAGCCGATTCTTTGTTGGAAGGCATGTATATATGGAAACCGTTTCCTTGCACTTATGTGCGCAAAAGTCGAAGAATCCCATAGCTTGCACTTGGCAACTGCCATTCCAATGAATTATCCAGAATGGATATATGTATTGTATCCAAGTGAGAGAATAAATAACTCCCAGAACGAGGCATGTGGTTAATTTTTAGTACATATATATGCGATCTCGCCCCATTAGAATCCCTTTTGTTTGAAACAATTTATAGTTGTTCTTGAATTGGTAATGGTTGGACCGGAGTAAAGTCAATTTTATTAAGAGAATATTGGGGACCGATTCATGCGAGATAATCTTGGTTACGAAACTGGTTCTTTGTAATCTTATTTATGGTTCAATTTGCTTGAATTTGTTCTTTATTTTCGTTCGTATGGGCTGTTTGAACTTTTCTTATCTGAAACCGCTTAGCTTAATCTAAGTAATTTTATGAGAACTGCACAGGTTGGCGTGTTGACAGTATGTTTTGGCAGTATCTCACGAACAAATGGTTCAATGTTGTCTTCCAATGCGTCTATTGAAGCGGGCTTGTCTGTATAGACATTATATTTAGGATAGCTCCACAAAAAATGATCTAAAGGCGTTAAATCGCACGATCTATGTGGCCAATTGATCGGTCCCAAAAGTGAAATAAAATGTTCACCGAACTCTAAGAGCTCATTAACCAAAAACTCTGCATTGCGGTAGGTCGTCGGCTTCAATTATTACACCAGCTATATTTTGAAAAGCTTCTCACTTAAATCCTCCCGCAAAGTTTTTCACGTTTTTTAATAACAGAGGCTCAAATGCAGCGAACGGCGACGAATCGATAATTGATGGTCATCATTGACATTGTCCGATACAGCTGCGAGATTTTCTTCAGTTCGCACTCTACGTAAGAGTGATGGTGGTTTAGGTTAGTTATCTAACAGACCGGATTCATTTAGGCCTTACTCAGACATATTGTGAAAGCACGAAAACTTAAGCCATCAGACTTTACTTCCATCTATTTTTATTCTTTAATGAACCTCATTAGATCCATGACTTTGACGTCAGCTATCTTCGATAGACCATCCCGCAGTAGGGTCCGAAAATTACGAGACCTCGCCCTGCTTAATGCAAGGCAGTCGCATAAGAGATGGATGGTCGTTTCTTCCTCTTCATCCTCCTTGCAGGTTCTGCAGCATCTTCTGTAGGGAGCTGCTAGTCTTTCTGCGTGGCATGTCAGAGCTGCTATAACTTTGGACATGTCGTCTCTTTTTAAGAAGTACTTATCTTGTGATCTCTTTTTATCCCAGTTCAGCTACTTGTGCCTGGTTTTGTGGCAGGTTGTGAAGTCATTTCACCTTGTAGTGGCTTGCTCACGCATGAATTCTTTGGGAAGCAGTTTGCATGTCGCAAAAAGCAAACCAATGCGCTCTTTATCGGGAAGAATCTGTTTGGTCGTACCCCGCCTAGCAAGTTCACCCATATTACAGTGTAGGTGGTTTATTGTCCAAAAAATCAGCCGCTTCAGTGGGTCGATTAAAGCGACCATAAAATGGAAGAAGCGCGAGATGTTGAACAGCGATGCAAAGCACGAAACGTGTGCCAGCTGTTTAAACCGGTGTTTACAAAATAGTAATAGCTAAAAAATCACCCTTTATTTTATTGTATTTTCACTTTTAATGCAATATAAAGGCATGTAATTAAGACAAGGCGAAGTTTGCCTTGGGTCTGCTAGTTATATTGTATAAATTAAATTAAGCTAAATTAGATAAAATTTAAAAATTAATGTTTATTTAACTAAAAACCAATAGAATAAATAATAAAGTGAAATAACTATGTTAACTAAATCTCAATAATATGAAATAAAATGAAATCAAGTAAATAAGAACATTATCCAATAGACATATGAACAAAAGTGCAAACAGCCAAATTTGCTCAAAACTTTTACAATTGGCAATCGTTTTTATTTCCACCCCCTGGTGGCGAGTTGCTTTTCAAAATTCTTACAAAACTCGTTATCCATGTTCAAGCAGCTTTTTAGCAGCCTCAGCAGCAGCAGCAGCGACAGCAGTTGAAAAGTGGCCACTATTTGTCCAATGGTATCCCCAATTGGTATTTTAAAGGCAACTATTCTATAACAATCCTTATAACGGTTATACTTCACGCCCAAACACGAACTAAAAACTCCCACAGCGCCGCTTTTTGGTAAGTATTTGACATGGCTATAACGGTGCAAGTCGGACTAGGTGATGGCTTAAGTGGCTCGCATGCACTTTCCAAACATCTGTATGTATCATATGTATGTTTGCGAGAATGTTGTTGTTGCAAAATGGCAACAATATTGAGATACTTTTGTATTTATTTTTCTTATTTTTGTTGGCATTTGTAATGGTTTTTAATATATTTTTGTCACAAATGCAACTATGCTTTGCCCTCAATGGATTCAACTTTTGAAGTATTACGTTTGTATGGCTTCGTCGCATTCTTTAACTGTAAATCTATTTCTTAGTGAAGTTTTTCACTTTGCCGATGGGGGATGAATTTAAACTTTTACAAGTGAATGTCACTAGTTTACTAACAAATTGGGAAGTGAAATTGAAAGTGCTGCATTAGGATTTTTTTCAGTTGTGCTTTTTGCTTTCACTTTGTATTTTACAAACTACTTGGAGTGTTCTCAAATTTAGTAGCAACATGGAAAGTTAGGCGTTAGGTCAGGGTAAGATAAACAACATTCTTAGCTATTTTGGGCTATTAGGCTGCCGAGTGGCGACCGCAATTTGAAATTTCAACTTACAATTTTTTATTTAGATTAATTTTATAAAATATTTGGATGTTGGTGTGACCCGCTCTTGCCTTCCGAATGGTAGTACGAAATGTCACCCGGCTATTGCCGCCGCCAATATACTTTAATTTAACCAAATTTTATTTCATTTTTGTTTAAAACAAAGAAAAATACTAAAAATCACATGTGTTTTACTTTTTTTCATTTAAATTTATTTTATTTTGTTATCTTTGATTTTACTGTTTTTCTTTCTTTCATTTCATCTATTATACAATATTTTATTTGGTTTTATTGTACTTTATTTCTATTTTCTATTGATTTTATTTTATTTTATTTTAATTTACTTTATTACTATTTTCTATTGGATTTAAATTTATTTTACTTTATTTTTTTTATTTTATTTTATTTTATTTTATTTTATTTTATTTTATTTTATTTTATTTTATTTTATTTTATTTTATTTTATTTTATTTTATTTCATTTTATTTTATTTATTTTATTTTATTTTTTTTTTTAATTATTTTATTTTATATTTTTTAATGTTATTTTATTTTGCTTTATTTATTTTATTTTATTTTATTTGATTTTCTTTTATTTTTTTATTTTATTTTAATTTAATATATCTTTATTTTATATTATTTTTTATTTTATGTTGATTTACTTTTTACATTAACTTTTTTTAATCTTATTTAATTTTAAATAATATATATAATTTTTCATTATTTTTCAATTAATTTTGGGTTGTTCTTTAATTTATATTATTTATGGAGTTAAATTGTTTTTTTTTTAAGTTATTATAATGAAATACTGATTTTTATTTGGTCTTCTCTTTATCAAAATATAGAGTGTTTTATTAGCCAACATTGCGAGCTGTTTTTTATTCTTAAACTTTTCGCCCGAAAACACCAAATTATTTATAAAATTTCCATATACTCGCATACAAAGTTACCGGTTACGCATCGCTGCATATCAATAGAAAAACCCGTTACTAAACTATTTAAGTTTTGTCTTTTAATTTATTTCTTCTTTTCATTCTTCTTTATAACAATACAATTAATGGCACCCTCTGGCGTAGTGGACGTTGTTGTTGTTATCGTAGCATCATTAGTCTTTCTGTTGGCTGTTGTTGGATTAGCTGTCATTGTAGCGGCAGTATTCGTCACTATGTTTGTAATTGCTGGATTTGTGGTTATCGTAGACCGTTGTGGGTCCGAATAGCTTGACGTATCCGCGCTATAAGTAGGCATTGTAGTCGCGGTGGGTGAACCCAAGCCCGGTCGGCTCATTGGCACATCTTCATCTTCATTTCTAATACGTTTATTACCACGTCGTTCCCCATCATCATCATTTGTTCTCAACTTCTTACGCTTCTTCAGCTTTAAAATACGACCTGCCTCACTGCCGCGCACGCGTTTCTGTAGCGTTAAGTCTTCGTGTACATTATTTGCCGCAACATAAGCGTTAAGGACGGCTGCAGCTTCGCCGAGACTGCGTGCATTGCGCGACTCAAAGCATACCTCCTGTGTGGAAACCCGCATTTCGTTACCAACACCAATCAGACGGCGCGTGAGGTTGCTAATATAAGCGACGCCTTGTGTAATGATGCGACCCTGTGGTATAGCATCACTGCGACCGGTGTTGGCGAGTAGCTGATAAACCTCCCGTGCATCGAGTGGACGCAATAGCAGACGACGTGCTGTGGTGTAGAAGTCAGGAGCGGGTAAAAGAGAGAGAAGATTTACTAATCAATATATCGGGTTTACCTGGAACCGTGTGTGGTATGGTGGCAACTGCCAATAGCACGAATGTTAAGCTCAGTCGCATGACTCTGCAGTTTGCTTTCGACTAGCGACACATGCACAAATTTTCTAACGAATAAACGGATTTCTTAATTAAAGATTATAACAAACGCAGCAAGGTTTCATCAAATTAAATTAAAATATGGATTTTTATTTACACAACATGCCCTTTTTATAGCGAAGAGTCAGTGGAGAAAAGCATAATGGAAAATAATCATTTGTCTTTGAGTAATCTGATATTTACGCAATGTCGACAATAAAAACTTGAAGAGTGAAAGATATCACAAGAAGTTCGTAAAAGAAATAAATAATATTTTTTCTGCGTGGAAATCGTTTTTGAGAGGATACATAGGAGTTTGGTCTCCTTCTGAACATCCAAACAAGAAACAAAAACATCATAAAATACAAAAAATAAATATAATAAAAATAAAAATAAGCGAATTTGTCCAACTCAAAACCACATTCGAAACGTTTTCAACGATTTACATATCTATAATTTGCATTGTACCAGTTGAATTTCTCCGCGCGAACATAATATTACACAACAACTTTCACTTTCAAAGCTCATGTGAATGTCAAAAAGTGCAACAAAAACTCAAAGCACGAATACACGTATACATATGTACATTCGTACTAATATATGTATGTGTAGACACTTCGAAAAATTGCACAAAACTTTCCTTATTTGCATATAGCAGATATTACAGTTGAAAACTTGAGTCTCACGCTGTGCTTTCCTCTTTTACAATCTTCCTAAATAAAAATTAGTCATTAAATCACAGCTGTTCTATTTAACACACTTAGCAACTGTCTTGCTTTTATATGCATACTTCGAGAGGTGTTCAAATAAAGGGTGGTCCAAAATGGTCCCGTCATTGCCGGCATAAGGTGAAACCGTAACTGTAATAAGTGGAAGCTTTCCCATTAACCACTTGGGAGGAACAATGCTACCCTCAGTACAAGCAGAGAGGAAATAAGGAGAGAAACCCTGGACCATGGCCAATAGATGGCCAGATTAAGAACAGACGCCAGAGTGTAGACTATTTGGAAAATTTGGAGAAGTAAACATCTTTATTACTCAGATGCTGTTCGGTCACGGCCACTTCAGGAAATATATGTATAAAATAAAGAAATCTGAAGATCTGTTATATAGCCACAACGATGCCAACGAAGATGATGACGCCGAACACACAATCTTCAAATGAATTCGCTGGCTGAGAGAATCTGACTTGAAAGCACTGCTGGAAGACTACAATTGTATAAACGTAAAAGAGTTCTTTGAAAAAATTCTACGAGCGAAAAAGTGGAGTCTGGCTGCAAGTGGGGAGATGTAATTCTCACTTTGAAAAAATCGAATATCCACCCTGCAGTAATGCGAAAACAGTTCTATGGCGAGGGAGTAGAGTTCTTTGTTTCCCTAACCAGAAATATATCCCATTGATGTGATGACACAACGCTAACTTATTTTAATTTAAATTTAAATTTAAATTTATTCCATTCTTATATTCTTCTTTTGTCTGTTTTTTTGTCATTTGATTCAATTTAATTTAATTTTTCTATGTTTATTTTTTGTTTGTTTTATTTAATTTGATTTTTTAATTTTAGATGTCATTTAAAGTCATTATCTATACATTTTATTTTAATTTATTTGTTATATAACTAATTTATTATATAACTAATTTTCGTTCAATTTGTTTGATTTTTATTTTTATAGGTTTTATGCATATATATGTTTTTATTTTAATCTTGTTTAGTTTGCTGTCATTTGATTCACTATCATAACCTTATATTATTTTTCTTGTTATTCTATCTTAATTTAATTTATTTAATTTTATTTGTCCTTATCTCTATGCATATGTATATAAAGGTCTTTGTCCTGAATGACTGTCAGATCAACCCACCGGCCGATCCGCCGGACGAAGTGACCTAAAACTTTGAGAGTGTGTTCTGCCTATGACGTAGGAACCCGACAAGAAAGGGTTTTTCGAGAAACGAACACAGGGACGATCTGTACGAAAAGTTGAATTTGTATTAAAATCGATTTATTTACATGAAATTCGGTACACAGGTATGTCTTTACCTGAATTGATATAGGACACTTATTTTCGGGAAGTATTTATCATTTGATTTGAATATAAATTTTTATGGTAGTAATTTTTAGCCGAAATTACCACGACGAAAATTTTTTATTTTCAAAAGTGTGTCTGAGATCGATTCGCTGATTTGGCTAGGATCAAAATGTGGGACATAAGTGATATATAATATAATGGTTTATAAGTTATAATAAAATTATTAATAAAATTATGTATCTTATTATGCTTTATATCACATAATTTTTTTTTTATTTTGTTAAATTGAACTATTATTAATTTATTTAATGTAGATTTTTAATTGTTTTCATATATTATTTCATAATAATCTAATCCAATGGGCGGTTTGTAACCGCCGAAGCGACTTTCCGCTGAACTCCTCCTCCAATTTGTGGTTTTTGCGTCTTCACGTTTTCCCAGCAAATAGAGGGACCTACAGATTATACTTAGCCCCAACCCATCGCTGATGGTCTTTTTATGAAGAGATATATTTCATTTCATAAATACACGTGGAGGGGTTGTTATTTTATAATACTTTAATTTATTTATTTTAAATATGATTTTCTTTTTCTTTTCTTTTATTTATTATACTTTATCTAATTTATTGAATTTTTTACTATAGACTATGTATCTTCTTTCTTAAATTTTAGTATGTTGCTTTCTTTTGTCTCACCCCATAAACGGTATGGGAACTGGGTTTTATATGTATGTATATATGAACAAACTTAACTATTTTGAATACACGGGTTCGTAAGTCACCGCCACATTAGCGGTCATTAATATTTATTAATTTAACGATAGCGCAGATGGGCAAAACAATGTGATCAACAAGACACCAACAACAAAAGCATTGGATATAACTTCAAAATTAGAGTCAATCAATTTTACATGTATGCTTATCAACTAGTCACAGCGAAGAATGTTGTTTATCATGGAAGCTGCGAGAATTTTAATTTGTTTTACACATGACACGCTGAACTTAAATGTGTGGCAGTTAGTAGAACCGGTTTTGATTCTGCTAATTTATTGGTTATAAAAGATTTACGTAAAACACGAAGTAAAAGAATTTAAAAAAATATATAAAAAATAGTAATTAAATTAAAATAAAACAAAATGACAAAAAAATTTAAACAAAGTTAAATAATATAAACTAAAACAAAATAAAATACAATAAAACAAAACTAAGAAAATAATATAAATTAAAATAAAATAAAATTGAAATAACATAGAAAAATATAATATGAAGTAAATAAATAATAAAATAAAGTAATAAGTAATATATATAAAATAAAAAATAAGAAACAAAAAAAATGTATAAATATAAAATAAATAAAGTCAAAAAAAAAATAAAATAGTATTAATTAAATTTAAAAAAAATAGAAAAATAAAATAAAATAAAATAAAATAAAATAAAAAATAAAAACAAATAAAATATAATAAAATAAAATAAAATAAAATAAAATAAAATAAAATAAAATAAAACAAAACTAAGAAAATAATACACATTAAAACATAAGAAATTGAAATAACATAGAAAAGAATAATATTAGGTAAATAAATAACAATATAAAGTAATGAGAAGTGAAATAAAAAAATAAAATAAAATAAAATAAAAAATAAAAAAAAAATATTAAAAATAACTAAATAGAAAAAAATGAAATAATATAAATTAAATTAAAATAAAATATTAAAATAGTATAATAAANAATTAAAGTGAAGTGAGAAAATAATATAAAATCAAATCTAATATATAAAAAAGTATAAAATATAAATAAAGAAAATTTATAAATTTTTATCTTTTAAATATCACTTTCCATCCAAATACTGGCTGTAGGGTGCACAATAAAAATTTCCACTCAACAAAAAAAAAAAAAAAACTCGCAAAATACGTACAATAATAATCATTTGAAATGGTTAAATAGAAATACTTTCGCCATCGTTTGGTGAAATTATTAGTTTCGGTTATGTTTGGGAAAGGAATTTTTTGCTTGCTCATTGTCTATTTGTCAATAAAAGATTGCACGCTCATCGAGCTTTGGTTTAGTCAAAAAGTAAAACTTTCTCGTATAAAATTTAGTTGCGAAATTACACTCACGGGAATCGGTTGTTGGAGTTATTAACTTAATAAACAATACTTAACACAACAAAACACCAACATATTGTCAATAGCAATAGAGCAGTAAGAAGCATCTGAGTGGAAAAATGCGAAATAATTTGGTGATTTCTATGTTTGTGATTGTGTTAATTGCCTTCGCTTTGCCAACAGAAGGTACACATTCAAGGATGTATTTAATGTGACAAAAAAATAGAGATAAAGAATGTTAAAAAAAAAATGAAAGTAAAAATAGAAAAAAAATGCAGGAAAGGGAAAATAATTAAAGTTATATGTATATATGAAAGTTTTAATCCTCTTTTGCGCTGAGAAATCCTACAATAGGTCTTTTATATAGAGACTGCCCCAATTTCACCGGTTGAAAGGGGCTGAACTACTCTAAAACTTCAAGAGAAGATTGTCTGTGCCCTGAACAAAATTTCTACGGAATCAAATATTTGTACCTATAACACTTTCCATAGAGGCTCTTATCTTGATAATACATCAGTTAGAGCTACCTATAAAGGTCACAAATTTCCAAGTTCTTGTACTAGCGTTGCAGCTAGGAAATATTTTGACATTTGCTTTATTCCTGACAACTTTTTTTTACATTTTTTTGTAACATTTTTTTTTGCTTATTTTTTTTGGAAATATCTTTCTGTCTACCCTTTTTAAGGCAACCTTAAAGTTAATAGTTATTTTGCATTAAATAACAGTACTAAATGAATATAAAACTGAAAATTGTTTTTTTTTTATTCTTTATTAAGGTAAACGTATATCTCTAGTACCCATCACTGCCAACGAAGTGTACCGTATACTACGTGAAGTCGGTCGTGAGGATGCTGTGCCCGAAGGCCGTGTGGTCACCCAAGGCATTGCTGCGGTATCTGGCTTTGCAGTTGGCCTAGCAAAAGGCATTGGCGGCTCATTGCTGGTAGATTTGGCTGCTAATCTATTAGCGTCAAATCAGAATCAAACAATGCAAACTCAAGAAATTTGTTTCAACAGTCGCAGTTTGGATGTGGACATCGAGGCCGATGACGACGACGATGTGCGACCACAAGGCAGACAGACTACCGTTACTACCTTATCTTCACCCTATTCAACTACCACCGGTAATGGTGTGGTAATGTCTGATGGTGATGGGACAAATTCTGAAACGGGTACAACAACACAAACGGATGGGGAGTCGATAAATTGTGTGGTTGTGAAGCAGCCGCCGACTGTGGCTACGGGTTAAAAGTTGAAAATGTAGCATGAAATATGAATTGTTTGGGAGACTCAGTGGCATAATTTAAATAATTTATTGTATTTATTAATTAATTTATTTTATTTTTTAATATATATCGTGTTAAATAAAAATGAAAGCGAAAGAAAACATTAGCGGAAGGCTCTTCGGAGCTTGTAATATTGATCTTTTAAACACAAATAAACAGCTACTCGGCGTCGATTTGAGACACAAGGTATAGACAGGCACGTCTCCAGCGAACGTTGGAAAAATAATGTAGCCTTCGTTTTCTTTCCTCTCCAAAATTCTCATAGCCGACTTATAGGATATCGTCATCATCCATACTTCTGTGCCACCACCTGCAAGACGGCAATGCTGAGCGATATGTAGATCTGGTCTTTGTTCGCCGAGTTAGGAATTTCTTCAATTGGCTATTTACTCCAAAGAAGCACTTAAAGCAAAGTAATTCTGACTTGTATTTTGAGGCTGACAATGTTGATGGTGTTATTTCCGTTTCCTAGATAATCCAAATTTTCTAAAACTTTAAGGTTACAACGGGAAATTATGCGGATGGAGTTATTAAGCGAATGCGGTTACTCTTATTTTGGTGATGGGAGATACTTCGTTTTGTCCTCGTTCCAGTCTGGAGATAGCATAGCTAACGGCGGGATGTTGCAGCTCACCGTAAATCCTTTTTTTTTAATAAAATTTAAAGTAACTCAGGTTAACTACACTTGACGTTGTTTGTCTTGATATAAGTGAAGTTATCTTAATATAAGTTAACATTGAACCTCGTCTTGTCAAACCTAACTCAACTTTAGTTTAACTAGATTTAAAAGAATTCAAATTCAATTATGTTAACCTAACTTAACATAACTTGACTTAGCTTACCTTAACATAGCTTTACTTAGCTAAACTTCAACATACTAAATTTAACTTAAATTAACTGGACTTGATTAAAAATAACTTAACTTAATTTCACATAACTCAACTTAACTTAGTTAAAATAACTTTAGCTTAGTTATATCAGTTTCCTTACCAAATTCAAGTTAAAATAACAAAACAATCAATTCAATCAATTTAAACTAGTTTAATATGATTAGACTTAAAATAACTTAAATTGAGTTAACTTAACATAACTTAATATAACTTAACACAGCCTAACCTAACTTGTCTTAATATATCTTAACTTACGCACACTAAACGTAACATAAATAAATTATACTAGATTTAAAATCACTTAACCGAACTTAACTAAGTTTAATTTAACACAACTTAACTTAGCTTAACGTAACTCAACTTAGCTTGGCTTAACATATCATAACTTATCGTAACTTAACTTAACCCAGCTTAACATATTTCCACCTTTCTTAACTTTCTCTCACTAAACTTAGTTTAAATTAACTAATTTATATTTAAAATAAATTAAATTAACTTTATTTAACATCAAGACGCAAAACCACAAATTGGAGGAGGAGCTAGCCAATTATATATATATATGTCTGATGTATGTAATATATAAATTAACTTTAGTGAACATTACTTTACTTAACTTAACCTAGCTTAACATAGTTCAACTAATTTTAAGGTTTTCATACTAAACTTAGTTTAAGTTAAATAACTTAAGTTAACTTAACTAAACCTAGCATAAAATAACCTCTCCTCATCTACTAATTGCCCAGAGGCTAGCCTTATCTGCTTTACTCGTAATCACACTTACTCAGGCACACACACACACGCCTATCCGGTCAAGTATTCGTGCATGAAACCGAAATAATACTCTACTTTTCACTTGAATTCAATTATGGGTTTATGTGTAGGCAGGCAGACAAATCCCCGCCCGTAGGCATGAAAACCCTTACCAACAAACTCGAATCTCTTTTGTTTTACTTTTTTGGTTTATTTCGTGCAAAATTTTAGCTTGGGTGTGTGAGATTGTGTACAAAATCGCAGCAAATTATCACTAGAGGCATAGCCCATAGTGCTATTGATCAAACCAGAACGGCCTTTATTTAGGAAGAGAAAAGGCATGAGTAAGCGTTCTCGGCTAACGGTACACTATGTTAGTATGTGGTACACATGACCAGCAAATCAACACTTGGCTAAACAAATACATGTACGAGTAGATTAATGAGAATGTATGCGCCTTCAAATTGCCTTTTTATTGTCTAAGATACTTAGTTCGGCAGGTATATATATGTGTATTTTTGTATCTTGTACCTTTTTTTCAGAACTCGTTTTAAATGCTTTCTCGCCCTTTTCGCATGCCACCTCACACTACCCTCCTGCTGGCTGGAGAGTGCCGCCTGCCTTGACTTGCAAATGCCACTGTGATTGCCCAGACACAAGGGTAAGTCTTGGATGTGAGTAGAAGGGTGTGAGTTGTGTTGTTGTCGGAAGTGCAAAACACTGTCAAATTATGCGTACTCAGTAGCGGTTACTGGTAATTGCGTTGTGTGCTTTCTTAGCTCACGCAACAGAAATTGTCTGGTTAGCTTTCTGCGATTTTTTTTATAGCCAGTGGCACAATTTTCCCAAGGGTTGGTAGTTTTGTGCACAGGTGTTTTTTGGAATCGCATAAAATATTTGAATTATATTAATTTACGAGAAACCTAGGTGCTCCCAACTTTCTTTTTTTATTACAAAATATGAACTGAAGTGTCAATGGATTTGAAATTTTTTAAATTTTCGAGTTAAATAAATTTTTTTCTGCTATGACAGATTTGGCGAGTTAAGAAGCACTCTTGTTCTCTGAGAGGACTCACCAGCAACTCGGTATAAGATAACTGTAATACGACAGTACAGAAACAATTGATTTTTGGGAGAGAAAAATAAGTAAAAGAGGATTGTCGGGCGGAAGTGGATAGAAAACAGACTGCCTGTGTATCTTTGACTGACTGTTTAAATTTGTGATCGACTGTAACGCACTTTGTGTGGGAGATTAACCATGAATTTAAGAGAAAAGTGAGACTTGTTTTCGAACCGAAAAACTATAAGCCGTAAAGCGTGAGTATGAAGAGCACAGTGAAGAAATGTGATGAGGCAACTTGTAGAAGGTTTCAAGACCGGAACATACTCATGACCAATGTGCAGAGTATACTAAATTTATTGAGGAAATTCTACGCCAGCTAGCTGATAGGCTTTACTTTTGATTTCATATAAAAATTATTCATTTTATAAGCAAACCTTTGAAAAAAATATTAATTTTTTTTACACAGAAATGTCAAACATTCGCATTTGAAAATTATTGCCCGGAAAATGTTTGATGAGTTTTTTGATCCGAATTGCTTTAACTGGCTCCAAGGCAGATTTATAGAATGTGAAGGTGTCAGATCAAATAATTGCTTGTTCTTCCTCTCACTTCAACATATTACACAAACAAAACATATTACACAAACAAAACACATTGAACGATTTTCGTTTTTGACTATTGAAACTATGATTACACAAACAAAATACATGGAATTTTTGGTTTTGTATTCTTGCTAGTACCGTGTGTGAATTTGTCTTGACTTGTTCTATGGTTTTTTGGCTACTGCTCTGTTCTGCTCGAACTTGAACGGCTCTACTCTATTTTCAGTCTCAATATTATACTGGTAGGATAGGTTTCTTAAATCTAATTATATAAAAAAAAGGTAGATTACCACAACAATGAAGGTGAAAAACCCGGAGGTGGTGAGCTCGACTCCCCAATAGATTACGTTAGATTAGATATTCCAGAACCGAATTATAATGAAATATGAATAGAAAGTGTTCGTCTGAAGAACAACGAAGCGGGGCTAGTTGATGCTATATTTAAAAATCACAGCCTGAGCTTCTTTGATGAACTTATTAGTTAGGAAGGTTGAAGTGGTTGCTGGACATCAGTTCACTCAGGCCACCAAATGCACCAATTTCGAAAATAATGATCATCCCAAGGAAGTCCATTTGCAAATCAAACCAATACAGGATATCGACTAACTGTCTAAAAGCTAAGAACACAGATTAACTGAAGACATTGCGAAATATTATAGTTAAGATAAGAAAACAAGCAGTTGGATTGCTTGTCAAACCAATAATGAGAAGATTCGATATAGTAACGAATTTAAAATCACAACAAAGCGAAGTAGAAGCTAATAAATGTACTCAATAGCGTAGAAGGATAACAGGAAGATATTCTGGCAGATTATGGAACACGAGTTAAGGGTTATGACGTGGAAACTAAGCACAATCAACGCATTGGAGGAGTCCTTGCGCGTAAAGATAGAAAAATACATGGTAAGCGCGGTGTGTTCTTTGACTTCAATGGCTGTAGTGAGCTTCTGCCAGCAGGTCAATTGGTCAGACTTCATGGCTTTAGCATTACAACAATGCAATAGCTAATATTTCAATGTTTGTTCGTGATTTTTTGACCAAAAATAGTACTGTAGCAATGCCCCAGCCTATACGAGGTGTGCTCAAAAAGTATTGCGAATTTTGTGTTTTCGCGGGCTACATTTAATCGAATTTCGATTTTTTTGTGGCGTTATGTTGGTACTCATGTCTGTCACTTATGCCGGCAAGCTCGGCCATTTTGAATGTTCACTTAATTGTTGACAGCTGCTTTGCTTGCACGTGCTTTGGATGCTATTCGATTTTTACCTATTCAAAAAAATGGAGCAAAGACCCTGTATCACATTTTGTGTGAAAAGCGACATTCAATGCGCGGATGCATTCCGAATGTTGACTGTGGCATACGGAGAAGCTACCTTGGAGCGAAGCAACGTTTATCGGTGGTACAAAATGTTCTCAGAAGGCCGAGAAGATGTGAACGGCGAAGAGCGTGCCGGATGCCCGAGCACTTCAACAACAGACGAAAAAATTAATGAAGTGGAGAAAATATAATTGCCACAGGGTGGAAGGGTCAATAAGGAATATTGCCTGCAAGTTTTGCCCAATTTGCGCGAAGCAATTCGCCAGAAACGCCCGGGTTTGTGGAAGAACAAAAATTGGCTTTTGCACCATAACGCCACTGCTCACACATCGTTGCTTGTGCGCGACTTTTTGGCCA